TTTTGTTAACTAAATACTTTAAATGTTATGCTATTTTGTTATGACAAGAAACTTAGTAGTATCAGCTGACATTTATTGTTGGTTGATTGAAATTTAGAAGAAAAAAATTAATTGTTTACTATGTTTGAAAATTATATAATTTTAGCTGGTTAAAAAATTAATTTATATATTGACGTGTTAAAAATATAATAGAACTATTGTACATTAAAATATTGCGGGCTTGGGTTATTCTTCTAATATTTTAAGTATTTATTATACATCATTGTGCGTGCACGCACGCACAAAAATATATAGAAGAAGATAATATTATTGTTGAGATAACATTGGAGTAGGAGATTGTAAATTATTACGCAAAGAGAAGAAATTGTTTGAAATTGGGAGTGCATGGTAACTTAAATTTATAGTTCTAGTCTATTTCTTGTTGAGAGAGGAGGAAATTTTAGTGAATAATAAAACACGCGGAGTGTTTTCTATTCTTGTTGAGAGAAGAGGAAAGTTTGGTGATGAAAAAATCAGAAGGAGAGTTTATTGAATAGATTCGGGGAGAGAAGGTGAGAGACATCTATAAAAGGGGATATGAAATATTGCAATGTTTGTGATAAGAGGGGTTGGGGTATATTATAGACCTTTATGTCTCAGGAGATTTTTGACTAGGTAGTATGTCAAGAAGGTGAAGCAAAACAAAGCCTAAAAAAATTAGTTATCTTTAGTGTAAAATGTCTTGATAACAACAAATAATTGTGCTATTTAATAAATAATTTAATATGTTAAAATTTAACATAATTTTGTGATTGTTTGAAGGTACACTACCTAATTTTTTGTGATAGATAGAAAAGTTGTTTCTTTAATAAATTTTAAGTATTAACTATAGGGCTAAAACAAAATTTAGTGTTTAAAATTTACCATTATTAAGTACATTCTCCAAACACTATTATAAGTAACTTTTACTTTTTTTATTAGATTTGACTATCAATATATTTTGCTTATATATGGATAAGATACATTGATAATCCAATTTATCAAAAAAGTAAAAGTTGTTTATAAAGTGTTCAGAGCATATATTGTATTTAAAGTGTTAAAGTTTCTTGGAACCATTGTAAACCCAAAACTAAGTAAACACATGTCCAATAAACATCTTGTAAAAGTTGGATATGACCAAATTAACCATTAAATAAAGGATTATATTCTATAAAATCTATAACCACCGTATAATAAATGTGAGAATGAGAAATAAACAAAAAAAAATTAAAATTATATATTAAGAGATTCAAAACATCATGTAAATTTTATCAACATGGATTATTTATTAATCGGAAAAAACTTAAACTATATACAAAGGAGTTATTTTATAAATTGGGAGAATAATTTAACCGGAAATCCTAAATTTGTGTAGAAATAAGTCTCTCTTTTTTGTATCATCTTTGGATCAATTAAATCAAAACATATTTTTTTGTTTTTTTGTTGTTGTGTTTGTTATGAAATAAATTAGAGACATATTTTTGTGCTTTTGTTATATTAAGTTTTTTTGTTTCTTTATAATATTTAAAACACACAAACTAAACTAAATAAAATAAATTAAAAAATAAATAAATCTAATAAAACTTCACCCATAGTACGTACTGTTACACGCGTCCCATTATTTAAAAATGAATAAAATGACAAAACAATTAAAGTGCGTTTGGTTTCACTTTTGGCACAATAAAATCATGGTGCAATTGGTTTCAACCGTGAAAATAAAGAAACTATTAGTTGAAGCTTCTACTAGAAGTGTTTTTTTCACCATGAAAACATTATTTCCAAACATTCACTTAAAAGAACACCAATCGTACTCACTTTTCTAATTTTTTCATATTCTCTCATGTTTTTTCAAATTAAAAAAAAACATTATACGATGACACATGGCATGTAGTGGTAATTTAAAAACAAAAAAATCATAATATAACAATAACAGTGAAGATAACCATACACACATGTAACTTCCTCTCTCTCACATAACATTATTAAAAGTTACGAGTTAAAAAAATACAATAACTCTATAACACAAAGAAAAAAATAAACTATGAGTAAACCTCTCTTCTTCTCTCAAAAACTTTATCACCTACTTTCTCTCAAAATAAACAATTTAAAATTTTTCAAAAATTAACCCCAAACAAATTTTAAAATTCAAAATAAAGAATCATAATAAATATAATAATCGACTAGCGAAAAATGAGAGAAAAAAAAATTTACCATCTCAAGGATTTTGTTGTGGCGGATCGAAGAACTTCGGCGGGCTTGGCGGTGGTGCTTATGAAATGTAACTGGGCAGAAGTGACTTGGTCGTGTGGGGAAGAGGCTTGTGTTGCTGTTGACAGTTTAATAGTGTAGAGTTTTGATGTCGATATCATCGGTTGCATTGTGGAGACGACAAGGACAACTTGTTTCTTTTCCTTCAATCCATGCGTCAGATATTTGTCATCAGCCTTGCACATTTTATCAACTTTTTAGATCAGGTACTTTTACCATAGGAAGTATGAGTTTTTTAAGCATAGTTGATGATGATTCTTTAGTACTTTATTCCATATTCTATATTAAACTTTAAGGTCCCACGATACTAAAACAAACATAAACGAAATTGAAAATAATAGTTTTATTATTTTTCAAAAATCGTTTGAAAATGTAAAATATATAATCGTTTCCTAAAAAAAGGTGTTATATAGGGAATATGGTAAAGGTTAACATGGTTAAAAATATTTATTGGTCTATTATGGTGAACTTCCAAAATTACAATTGATTTAATAATAAACAATTTTAAGGGTTATGATTGATTATTGGAGAATCAAATATATTAGAATGTTATGGTGAACTTCAAAAATGACCATTTTATGTGCACGCACGCACACACTAATATTTTGTTAACTAAATACTTTAAATGTTATGCTATTTTGTTATGACAAGAAACTTAGTATTATCGGCTGACATTTATTGTTGGTTGATTGAAATTTAGAAGAAAAAATTAATTGTTTACTATGTTTGAAAATTATATAATTTTAGCTGGTTAAAAAATTAATTTATATATTGACGTGTTAAAAATATAATAGAACTATTGTACATTAAAATATTGCGGGCTTGGGTTATTCTTCTAATATTTTAAGTATTTATTATACATCATTGTGCGTGCACGCACGCACAAAAATATATAGAAGAAGATAATATTATTGTTGAGATAACATTGGAGTAGGAGATTGTAAATTATTACGCAAAGAGAAGAAATTGTTTGAAATTGGGAGTGCATGGTAACTTAAATTTATAGTTCTAGTCTATTTCTTGTTGAGAGAGGAGGAAATTTTAGTGAATAATAAAACACGCGGAGTGTTTTCTATTCTTGTTGAGAGAGGAGGAAAGTTTGGTGATGAAAAAATCAGAAGGAGAGTTTGTTGAATAGATTCGGCGAGAGAAGGTGAGAGACATCTATAAAAGGGGATATGAAATATTGCAATGTTTGTGATAAGAGGGGTTGGGGTATATTATAGACCTTTATGTCTCAGGAGATTTTTGACTAGGTAGTATGTCAAGAAGGTGAAGCAAAACAAAGCCTAAAAAAATTAGTTATCTTCAGTGTAAAATGTCTTGATAACAACAAATAATTGTGCTATTTAATAAATAATTTAATATGTTAAAATTTAACATAATTTTGTGATTGTTTGAAGGTACACTACCTAAATTTTTGTGATAGATAGAAAAGTTGTTTCTTTAATAAATTTAAAGTATTAACTATAGGGCTAAAACAAAATTTAGTGTTTAAAATTGACCATTATTAAGTACATTCTCCAAACACTATTATAAGTAACTTTTACTTTTTTTTATTAGATTTGACTATCAATATATTTTGCTTATATATGGGTAAGATACATTGATAATCCAATTTATCAAAAAAGTAAAAGTTGTTTATAAAGTGTTCAGAGCATATATTGTATTTAAAGTGTTAAAGTTTCTTGGAACCATTGTAAACCCAAAACTAAGTAAACACATGTCCAATAAACATCTTGTAAAAGTTGGATATGACCAAATTAACCATTAAATAAAGGATTATATTCTATAAAATCTATAACCACCGTATAATAAATGTGAGAATGAGAAATAAACAAAAAAAAAATTAAAATTATATATTAAGAGATTGAAAACATCATGTAAATTTTATCAAAGTGGATTATTTATTAATCGGAAAAAACTTAAACTATATACAAAGGAGTTATTTTATAAATTGGGAGAATAATTTAACCGGAAATCCTAAATTTGTGTAGAAATAAGTCTCTCTTTTTTGTATCATCTTTGGATCAATTAAATCAAAACATATTTTTTTGTTTTTTTGTTGTTGTGTTTTTTATGAAATAAATTAGAGACATATTTTTTTGTTTTTGTTATATTAAGTTTTTTTGTTTCTTTATAATATTTAAAACACACAAACAAAACTAAATAAAATAAATTAAAAAATAAATAAATCTAATAAAACTTCACCCATAGTAGGTACTGTTACACGTGTCCCATTATTTAAAAATGAATAAAATGACAAAACAATTAAAGTGCGTTTGGTTTCACTTTTGGCACAATAAAATCATGGTGCAATTGGTTTCAACCGTGAAAATAAAGAAACTATTAGTTGAAGCTTCTACTAGAAGTGTTTTTTTCACCATGAAAACATTATTTCCAAACATTCACTTTAAACAACACCAATCGTACTCACTTTTCTAATTTTTTCATATTCTCTCATGTTTTTTCAAATTAAAAAAAACACATTATACGATGACACATGGCATGTAGAGGTAATTTAAAAACAAAAAAAACATAATATAACAATAACAGTGAAGATAACCATACACACATGTAACTTCCTCTCTCTCACATAACATTATTAAAAGTGACGTGTTAAAAAAATACAATAACTCTATAACACAAAGAAAAAAATAAAGAATCATAATAAATATAATAATCGACTAGCGAAAAATGAGAGAAAAACAAATTTACCATCTCAAGGATTTTGTTGTGGCGGATCGAAGAACTTCGGCGGGCTTGGCGGTGGTGCTTATGAAATGTAACTGGGCAGAAGTGACTGGGTCGTGTGGGGAAGAGGCTTGCGTTGCTGTTGACAGTTTAATAGTGTAGAGTTTTGATGTCGATATCATCGGTTGCATTGTGGAGACGACAAGGACAACTTGTTTCTTTTCCTTCAATCCATGCGTCAGATATTTGTCATCAGCCTTGCACATTTTATCAACTTTTTAGATCAGGTACTTTTACCATAGGAAGTATGAGTTTTTTAAGCACAGTTGATGATGATTCTTTAGTACTTTATTCCATATTCTATATTAAACTTTAAGGTCCCACGATACTAAAACAAACATAAACGAAATTGAAAATAATAGTTTTATTATTTTTCTAAAATCGTTTGAAAATGTAAAATATATAATCGTTTCATAAAAAAAGGTGTTATATAGGGAATACGGTAAAGGTTAACATGGTTAAAAATATTTATTGGTCTATTATGGTGAACTTCCAAAATTACAATTGATTTAATAATAAACAATTTTAAGGGTTATGATTGATTATTGGGGAATAAAATATATTAGAATGTTATGGTGAACTTCAAAAATGACCATTTTATGTGCACGCACGCACACACTAATATTTTGTTAACTAAATACTTTAAATGTTATGCTATTTTGTTATGACAAGAAACTTAGTAGTATCAGCTGACATTTATTGTTGGTTGATTGAAATTTAGAAGAAAAAAATTAATTGTTTACTATGTTTGAAAATTATATAATTTTAGCTGGTTAAAAAATTAATTTATATATTGACGTGTTAAAAATATAATAGAACTATTGTACATTAAAATATTGCGGGCTTGGGTTATTCTTCTAATATTTTAAGTATTTATTATACATCATTGTGCGTGCACGCACGCACAAAAATATATAGAAGAAGATAATATTATTGTTGAGATAACATTGGAGTAGGAGATTGTAAATTATTACGCAAAGAGAAGAAATTGTTTGAAATTGGGAGTGCATGGTAACTTAAATTTATAGTTCTAGTCTATTTCTTGTTGAGAGAGGAGGAAATTTTAGTGAATAATAAAACACGCGGAGTGTTTTCTATTCTTGTTGAGAGAAGAGGAAAGTTTGGTGATGAAAAAATCAGAAGGAGAGTTTATTGAATAGATTCGGGGAGAGAAGGTGAGAGACATCTATAAAAGGGGATATGAAATATTGCAATGTTTGTGATAAGAGGGGTTGGGGTATATTATAGACCTTTATGTCTCAGGAGATTTTTGACTAGGTAGTATGTCAAGAAGGTGAAGCAAAACAAAGCCTAAAAAAATTAGTTATCTTTAGTGTAAAATGTCTTGATAACAACAAATAATTGTGCTATTTAATAAATAATTTAATATGTTAAAATTTAACATAATTTTGTGATTGTTTGAAGGTACACTACCTAATTTTTTGTGATAGATAGAAAAGTTGTTTCTTTAATAAATTTTAAGTATTAACTATAGGGCTAAAACAAAATTTAGTGTTTAAAATTTACCATTATTAAGTACATTCTCCAAACACTATTATAAGTAACTTTTACTTTTTTTATTAGATTTGACTATCAATATATTTTGCTTATATATGGATAAGATACATTGATAATCCAATTTATCAAAAAAGTAAAAGTTGTTTATAAAGTGTTCAGAGCATATATTGTATTTAAAGTGTTAAAGTTTCTTGGAACCATTGTAAACCCAAAACTAAGTAAACACATGTCCAATAAACATCTTGTAAAAGTTGGATATGACCAAATTAACCATTAAATAAAGGATTATATTCTATAAAATCTATAACCACCGTATAATAAATGTGAGAATGAGAAATAAACAAAAAAAAATTAAAATTATATATTAAGAGATTCAAAACATCATGTAAATTTTATCAACATGGATTATTTATTAATCGGAAAAAACTTAAACTATATACAAAGGAGTTATTTTATAAATTGGGAGAATAATTTAACCGGAAATCCTAAATTTGTGTAGAAATAAGTCTCTCTTTTTTGTATCATCTTTGGATCAATTAAATCAAAACATATTTTTTTGTTTTTTTGTTGTTGTGTTTGTTATGAAATAAATTAGAGACATATTTTTGTGCTTTTGTTATATTAAGTTTTTTTGTTTCTTTATAATATTTAAAACACACAAACTAAACTAAATAAAATAAATTAAAAAATAAATAAATCTAATAAAACTTCACCCATAGTACGTACTGTTACACGCGTCCCATTATTTAAAAATGAATAAAATGACAAAACAATTAAAGTGCGTTTGGTTTCACTTTTGGCACAATAAAATCATGGTGCAATTGGTTTCAACCGTGAAAATAAAGAAACTATTAGTTGAAGCTTCTACTAGAAGTGTTTTTTTCACCATGAAAACATTATTTCCAAACATTCACTTAAAAGAACACCAATCGTACTCACTTTTCTAATTTTTTCATATTCTCTCATGTTTTTTCAAATTAAAAAAAAAACATTATACGATGACACATGGCATGTAGTGGTAATTTAAAAACAAAAAAAATCATAATATAACAATAACAGTGAAGATAACCATACACACATGTAACTTCCTCTCTCTCACATAACATTATTAAAAGTTACGAGTTAAAAAAATACAATAACTCTATAACACAAAGAAAAAAATAAACTATGAGTAAACCTCTCTTCTTCTCTCAAAAACTTTATCACCTACTTTCTCTCAAAATAAACAATTTAAAATTTTACAAAAATTAACCCCAAACAAATTTTAAAATTCAAAATAAAGAATCATAATAAATATAATAATCGACTAGCGAAAAATGAGAGAAAAAAAAATTTACCATCTCAAGGATTTTGTTGTGGCGGATCGAAGAACTTCGGCGGGCTTGGCGGTGGTGCTTATGAAATGTAACTGGGCAGAAGTGACTGGGTCGTGTGGGGAAGAGGCTTGTGTTGCTGTTGACAGTTTAATAGTGTAGAGTTTTGATGTCGATATCATCGGTTGCATTGTGGAGACGACAAGGACAACTTGTTTCTTTTCCTTCAATCCATGCGTCAGATATTTGTCATCAGCCTTGCACATTTTATCAACTTTTTAGATCAGGTACTTTTACCATAGGAAGTATGAGTTTTTTAAGCATAGTTGATGATGATTCTTTAGTACTTTATTCCATATTCTATATTAAACTTTAAGGTCCCACGATACTAAAACAAACATAAACGAAATTGAAAATAATAGTTTTATTATTTTTCAAAAATCGTTTGAAAATGTAAAATATATAATCGTTTCATAAAAAAAGGTGTTATATAGGGAATACGGTAAAGGTTAACATGGTTAAAAATATTTATTGGTCTATTATGGTGAACTTCCAAAATTACAATTGATTTAATAATAAACAATTTTAAGAGTTATGATTGATTATTGGAGAATAAAATATATTAGAATGTTATGGTGAACTTCAAAAATGACCATTTTATGTGCACGCACGCACACACTAATATTTTCATAACTAAATACTTTAAATGTTATGCTATTTTGTTATGACAAGAAACTTAGTAGTATCAGCTGACATTTATTGTTGGTTGATTTAAATTTAGAATAAAAAAATTAATTGTTTACTATGTTTGAAAATTATATAATTTTAGCTGGTTAAAAAATTAATTTATATATTGACGTGTTAAAAATATAATAGAACTATTGTACATTAAAATATTGCGGGCTTGGGTTATTCTTCTAATATTTTAAGTATTTATTATACATCATTGTGCGTGCACGCACGCACAAAAATATATAGAAGAAGATAATATTATTGTTGAGATAACATTGGAGTAGGAGATTGTAAATTATTACGCAAAGAGAAGAAATTGTTTGAAATTGGGAGTGCATGGTAACTTAAATTTATAGTTCTAGTCTATTTCTTGTTGAGAGAGGAGGAAATTTTAGTGAATAATAAAACACGCGGAGTGTTTTCTATTCTTGTTGAGAGAAGAGGAAAGTTTGGTGATGAAAAAATCAGAAGGAGAGTTTATTGAATAGATTCGGGGAGAGAAGGTGAGAGACATCTATAAAAGGGGATATGAAATATTGCAATGTTTGTGATAAGAGGGGTTGGGGTATATTATAGACCTTTATGTCTCAGGAGATTTTTGACTAGGTAGTATGTCAAGAAGGTGAAGCAAAACAAAGCCTAAAAAAATTAGTTATCTTTAGTGTAAAATGTCTTGATAACAACAAATAATTGTGCTATTTAATAAATAATTTAATATGTTAAAATTTAACATAATTTTGTGATTGTTTGAAGGTACACTACCTAATTTTTTGTGATAGATAGAAAAGTTGTTTCTTTAATAAATTTTAAGTATTAACTATAGGGCTAAAACAAAATTTAGTGTTTAAAATTTACCATTATTAAGTACATTCTCCAAACACTATTATAAGTAACTTTTACTTTTTTTATTAGATTTGACTATCAATATATTTTGCTTATATATGGATAAGATACATTGATAATCCAATTTATCAAAAAAGTAAAAGTTGTTTATAAAGTGTTCAGAGCATATATTGTATTTAAAGTGTTAAAGTTTCTTGGAACCATTGTAAACCCAAAACTAAGTAAACACATTTCCAATAAACATCTTGTAAAAGTTGGATATGACCAAATTAACCATTAAATAAAGGATTATATTCTATAAAATCTATAACCACCGTATAATAAATGTGAGAATGAGAAATAAACAAAAAAAAATTAAAATTATATATTAAGAGATTCAAAACATCATGTAAATTTTATCAACATGGATTATTTATTAATCGGAAAAAACTTAAACTATATACAAAGGAGTTATTTTATAAATTGAGAGAATAATTTAACCGGAAATCCTAAATTTGTGTAGAAATAAGTCTCTCTTTTTTGTATCATCTTTGGATCAATTAAATCAAAACATATTTTTTTGTTTTTTTGTTGTTGTGTTTGTTATGAAATAAATTAGAGACATATTTTTGTGCTTTTGTTATATTAAGTTTTTTTGTTTCTTTATAATATTTAAAACACACAAACTAAACTAAATAAAATAAATTAAAAAATAAATAAATCTAATAAAACTTCACCCATAGTACGTACTGTTACACGCGTCCCATTATTTAAAAATGAATAAAATGACAAAACAATTAAAGTGCGTTTGGTTTCACTTT